CGGGGCCGCGGCCTCGAGTAAACGCGGCGCGGCAGCCCGCGGGGCCCTGCCGTGGGGGAGCCCGCGGGAAGGGTCTGGCCGGGGGGACGGGGGTTGGCAGGCCTTTGGCGGGGGTGGAAGAGCGGGTGACAGCGTCTGGTAGCGGTGGCAGAGTACGTGACGGAGTTTGATCGTGGTGGCAGGGTAGGTGACAGGGTTTGGCAGCGTTCACCAGGAGCTACAGGAGAGGTGACAGGGTTTGATGGGGTGGCAGGGTAGGTGATGGGGTTTGGCAGAGGTGACAGTTTGAGAGGAGTTACGGGACAGGTGGCAGGGTTTGACAGGAGTGATACGGTTTGGTGAGGGTGACAGGGTTCGGCAGGTAGGTAACAGGATGATCCCTGACAGATCTGGACGTAGAGGGATGGTTGAGGATCTCTGGCTTCATCCAGCCCCAGTGCATCTACTGAATGGTGTTCTGCTTTGAGTTTTTCATTATGTGAAATTCCTTTGTGTTTAGGAGGGAGATAGAAACAGCATAGGGATAAAGTATTTGATTTGACAAGATAAAAGAAAAATAGCTTAGCAAACAATACAGGTAGTTTTAGACCTTTATTCTTTTAAAGCACTGAAGATTATAGTTGCCCTGGTGTAGCCAAAAGTGTTTTATTGTTTCCTATAAAGTACAGTAACAGTGAAAACATTTCTAATTTAAATTATTGTTTAAGCTGCAGAACAGTAATGTACTTTGAGAATGTCAACTAGCTTTTTGAAAATAATGTGATTAATCTTGATAAGCTTTTCTCTCAAGCTAAATTTAAAATTCTATGGCAAGACAGAGTTAACTAGGAGATTTGGCATTTGGCATTGATTTCCATGTATCTGCATTGGGTTTGGAGTATTTTCTGCAAATTTGAACTAAGTACTCAGTCTAGATTTGCAGGTCCCTATTCAAGCATGGCTGTATTAGCCACTTAGTATCTTCAAGAGAAAAAAAAAAAATCTTAAGTCTGTATTAAGTTTTTAGCTGCAACTGGGTTTTATGTACTACAGTATACTGACAATCTGCCTCCTTCAGGGTGGATTGCCAGAAAAGCTCATTTATCCAGTGACCAAGATGTGTCATGATAAATATGTATTTAGCACAAAACTGAAGTGTGTGCCCTTGTATGACAAAGGACTGCTTGCTCATTCACATGACTCAATAGGCACCCATCAGAGAAGAGAGAGCAGATGCGTGGTAGGTGCAGACGTAGCGCCCTTAGGGCTCGGAAAGTCTTTTTGATTCACCCTAGCCAAAGTTAGGGTGCAGTTTTGCACCGAGGAGCTGCTGGTTCGTTTGGGATCTCAGCAGGAAAGCCATGGGCTCTCAAGGCTAGTTAACTGTTTTATTGCATAGTAGTAGTAGAAAATGTGATAGCAATCTTTCGTCCTTTCTGATGCTGAGAACCCTGGCTATTGCAGCATAAAAGAAGCCCCTTCATATTGACCGGTATGCTGCGCAGATCCACTCAGTGGTGACATTTGCGCTCGTAGTCTTTAGAGCTTTGGTAAGATTTTTTTTTTAAGTAAACAACTATTCTTCATTTTCACAGTTAAGTAAAGGAATGTTATGTATAGATACACTGTTTAATCTTAAGACAAAGATTGTGGATGGTGTAATCTATTTGTACTGAGTTGGAACCAAACACAGGCTTCTCTGTTGCAGTTGATTCTAAGGAACCAACTCACAGATGGACTGTAAGCCAAAAGCACTTTTGCTTTCACTAGCGGGGAGACAATAGGATCTGCACCCTGCAAAATACACCTCCACCGAGGCAGAATTTCAGTTAGCTTATATAACAATTTTATCAAACATTCCACACATCCTGTGGTTAATCCCTGATAAGCAAGCAGTCTGGTTACAAAAATTTATGGTTTCCTAGATAGCATGGCATACTGCCTAAAGGCAACTGTCTTGATATATATCATACCCCTTCAGAGGGGTAGGCCCCTGTTTGCAGTTAGCCAGAACAAGAACTCACAGTATTTACTAACTCATACTGCTGGTAAGAGCGGTCTAGTTATGTCAAGCAAACCTTCACGCCGTGTTCAACTCTGTTCCTTAATTCACAGTCGGTCAGCCAGGTTCATCCAGCAGCCACCAAGGGTCGGTGAAGGCATTGCATTCTTACACGTCTCCAGGGGAATGAGTTAAAGGCAAACACTGTGTGCTCAGGTTATGTCGTGGTCACTTGTGCTAACAGATGGGTTGCTGCAAGCGAGGCCGGTGGTTAAAATCTTCTCAGATTCTGCTTGAAGTCGATGTCTCCTCGTTGCAGTGACCTGCTACAGGTGCCCTCATTATACTGTGCTAACTTTAGTCATTTTTTTTAATGTGCTTCCACACTGGAAATCTTGCTTCTTTCCTTGCTTAAATCTGTGGTGTGCTTCAGATTATAGAGCCTTAATATTTTGACCTCTCTAGAGTTTGTATTTGGTATGTATTTAATTTGCTGTGATTTGGTGGCATTCTGGTGCCAGTCAAAATTATGTTCCATAAAAGTTGTCTGTAGGGACTCCCGGAGTTGTGGCTGTATGCTAAATCTAATTTGGCTTAACTCTAGGCTGCTGCTGCCCCCTGCCCTCAACCACTTGTTCTGGCAGTATCATTTCTGTTACCTCACAGTTTTAGTCAGAGGAATTTTCATTCAGATCAGATGCTGAGCAGCTCACACTGAAGCTGTGAATTTCAGAGCCAGCATGAGGAAGGCGCAGTAAAAAGTGACTGAGGAGACAAGGGGTGTGGAACTAGCTTTTTCAACCCCTCTTTGGACTTCACATTCGGTTAGAGTGTTGTGTAATGACAGATGGACTTCTAATAGAAATCAATTACAAGGGTTCTGTCTTGCTAATAACTTTTCTTTTTTTGCAAAACTAAAACAGCGCCCAGACTTTTTTTGTTGTGCATGATTCATCTGTTGATAATTAAGATCTGTGTTACACTATATGCTTATGTTTTCACGATTAACCTTAGATGTTAGACCTAGTAATTTCTCTTTACATGTACTGTAGTGCTCGATACCATAAACAGTTTCTACTTTTGATTGGTTACTGATCTTTTTTTACACTACTTTATTAGTACTGTTGCAGCAATTTTCTATGTTAATGTGACAATATAATTATTATACCGGTAAGACTAATACTTAAAACTAATAATTACACAACTTTTTAACAAATGTATGTAATTTTAGTGTATTTTTTCTTGTCTTACACAAATTGGGTGATGGCCATCTGTTTATGCCAGGATGCACTTCAAGCTTCTTTCTTATGCTAACCCTTAGACTTATTGTTTAACTAGAAGAACATACAGCAGAAACTAAAAACTGAAACAAATCAATTAGTGTGTGAAGTAGTCCTTTTAATAAGGTCCTTCTTTTTAAGATCTCCAAACCTAACAGAAAGTGCATTTATCAAGGTGTTTCTGCTGCTTGATGGTGTGTGCTGCTCGTCTGCTGCTTGTTGGCCTTTGCCCTCAGCCCCAAAAGAGAAATTAGGACTCCAGAGGTCACATGCACTAGAGCATCATACTGGAAATATTTAGAAACATTCTTCTGACCTTATTTTTTTTGCTCAAGTTATATCTTATATTAGTTTTTGTTCCCTGAAGTTATTGTTCCCAACATGAGAAATGACCAATTTACACATGCACTCCTAGCTGATGCAGTTTTAAGGCCGGCATATTGAGGTATGCCACATTTGTAGTTGGTTTACATAATTATGCTTGGTTGAAAACTGAGAGTGTAGGAGTTGCAGGGCCTGCCAAATAGAGTGGATGCCCAGCAGCAACAACGCTTGCTGCAGAGGTGGAGAAGGCAGCTGTGCAGGTAACAGCTTTAGCTGGCATACTTTTAGGAGGCTGCTGTTACAAATCTCTTGGAGCACTGGCAGGTGTTTTAAGCTGATGTGCTCATGCCCAGACATGAACTCAGAACCAAGAGTTTATACCATCAAAAATGAGACTCTTAGAGCAACATAAATGAAATATCAAATTTAAAGGTGTTTTAATTAAGATTGTCACTACATGATAAAGAAGTGTAACTCATTTCAAGAGTACATAGTTAGATATTGCTCAGGTTTGATTGTTCCATGTGTCATTAATAGATAGCTCCTGTGTATTAACAGGGAGCCAGCCTATTGCAGACCAGTGCGTTATCTAACCTGTCAGTGTCTCAGGAAACTAAAGTCTTACAAAGGCATCAGAACATCTGCAGATGGGTGCATCTGCATGAACAAAAACTGAGAACAGAAGTAGAGCATCAGTTTGAAAGCAGAGCTTTCTTTTATGGTCTTACTATAGATATAAATTATCCAACCCTACAGAATGCAGGAAGGTGTGACTATTTTGTTATTTGCCATTAAACCTAATTTAGTATCTGTTCTTCTGGTTAATTTCTCCTTCTTATGTGTCCCACTTCTGACATTTGTCTGCTATTCTATTTCATGCGACATAACTTAGTATAAGCTTCACCTTGATGTGAATTAGACTATTTGTAGAATATTTAGTTATAAATATCTAATTTCTGGTTTATGTATTGGAAATTACACATTTGTCCTGTCATGATACTCTAACCCTGTCATAAAGCTTAAGGTTAAAGATCATAGGCCTTTTCTGTTCTGCATCTCTTGGTTGGAGATGGATGCTCTTTGGAGCAAATGAGTTATGACATTTTACAATTCGTAGACAACTCTGAACTATAAACAGCTGCTCTAACAAATGTGATAATGTGGATCAGGGAAAAAAGCAGTTGGGGGTTTTGCAAGAAGGAATGATCTTTTATCAGATCATTACAGGAGTAAAGCACTACTCAGTTTTCCCTGTCCATGACAAACAGGAATCGTGTTTTCTTTCATTAAGTTAGACTGGGACGGAATCTGTCTGCCAGGTGAATGCATTATAGTCTTTACTTACCAATCTTAGTTATTGCTGTGTGTATCCAGATCACATGAAAGTCTAGATGCCAACTACAGTAAAGTTACTGTGTAGTTACAGTAGCTTCTCTGGGTTTACTAGTGGAGTGACTTAATGCAAAAATATTGATTCTACAAAGGCAAAACATTTTTAACATTTTGGATAGGATTTAAAAAGAAAAGTTGGCCTGGGGAATCTAATTCAGGTAGCTATGATCCATAGATTATAGAACCTCCAATTCAAAGTACTTATGTGAACTCATGTTGGGTTTCTAAGCAAGAGAGGGACAGTGAGGTGTTACCCTTCATCCCTCATTTCAACTCTCTCCATTTTAGTTTTAGTGTAGTGTAATTCTTTTTAAAGTCTTGGCATTTTCTAGACAACAAAATACTACCTTTTCACTTATCTCTGGATGTTGGTTAGCTTCACTCTAGTTTATGTTCCTCATTTACCTAGGGACTTTGGGTTTTGATAATAAAATCTCCCTTCAGAGAGTTGCAATTTCTTCCTTAAGGACCAGCAATTGGTTTTTAGCATATTAAACGATTGGTGATTGCTCTGAAGGTCAGGATGCTCAGAATGCTTAGAAGCTATTCATAAACTCTTCCTGGAGTTGCCTCTGGTGTTTCAGTAAGCCTGTGATTGTAATTTAAAGTTGCAAAGGTTGGGATGTTAACATTTTATGTATACTATGATACATTAAAGTGCCTAAGGAATCTTAAAAAAATAGGATTGCCCCATTAGTGTCCCTCTATAGTACTTAATATTGCGTAAGTGAATACTGTATATTTGACCTTGAAAAGCATTATTTCAAGTGTTCTACCTGGGTACTATTCCACATATATCTGGATAATACTAATCTCTCTGTTTTATTTGGCTTAAGTAAAGTTCTTCATGTTTTCTCCCAAAAACCTCTGTTCCCTCTGTAATGAACTGAAAGAATTAATGCCTCAAATGTTCATCAACACAGAAAACCTCAAGGACAAGCTGTGGCCTTTGTGATTAATCTAAGGAACACCACCCAAGGAAGTGTGGAGTGTATTGAAGGATGCACCTCTCCTTTCCCTTGCAGTTGTATTGCCAGACTCCTTAGATAAGCCTCAAAGGGGGGATCATTGGCTCCACTGTGTAAACCTGATATGATCCGGCCTTGCTAATCACCAGCCCCATTGTAAGCCCGATGCTTTGTGGCTCTACTGTGTAAGCCTGATAGGATCTTGTCCTTGCAAAGGTTGAAGAGGTGATAATGTTGGTAAGAGGTGAGCATCCTGCCCCAGAAGAAGCCAGATGATTGCCCAAGAAGCATGAAGTCAGCAAAAATCTGTGGAAGCTGGGGGAGATCATGATCACTGGCTCATTTGGACAAGGGAGTTGATGCACCCCATTCCCCCTCAATTTATGCACAGAACCCATGCCCCACTTTTTCCTCATCTCTCATGGAAATGAGTTCTTCGAATGCCTGTCTCTCTTGGACTAGTATGCTAATCAGCTGATAAGATGAATTTAAAAGGCAACAAAAAATCTTGCTGTGTGTACACCCACCACCCAAGATTACCGGACCTGAGACAACACTGAAACCTGGAGTGGTGATCTGGACTCTTGTTCTCTCCTTCCTTTTTCTTTTCTTTTCTTTCTTTCTTACAAGACACCACATTGCTTACTATCCTTTTCTGAGTTTAAGCTGTTTCTACCACAAGTAAAACACTTTAACTGGACAAATGGTGTTGTTTCACCTTAATTTAACCCAAGAGGATCACAAAACCTTTATGACTCTCTGTGCTCCCAGGCTGGGTAACACCCTCTGGAGTCTCTTAACGTATTCTGACTGAAATGATCCCTTTTTCTTGCATTCACACAGATAAAATTCTAGGATTTCAGTCTGTCTTAAATTATCACCCATTATTCTGTGATTCTAGTAGGCCTATTAATACATATTTCTGCTTGGTCCTTCCTTTAGAGATAGTATGTGAGCCCTGTGTGTCTTTGAGATTTGTTTGCAATTTTTCATGCAACAGTATCTCATGATGGAAACTTTGTGCAAATCAAGTTTCAGTATCTGGCCAAGGGAACAGAATTTGACACTAGTACAAAAGGTGCCCAGGAGCAGAGTGTTCATGATGTCTATGTTGGCATTATTGGCATGTGTTGGCATCTCTAGCCCAGTGTATACGATAATCAGGCTTTCCTTCAGGTTGATAAATCATTCTGATGAATAAGCATGTTGGGGGAAGGAGGCCTTAAATACTGGTATTGGAAAAGGAATGGCTATATGAGTCAAACCAATCAGTGTTTCTCATTGTGACAGGATTTCACCCAACCTTCCTTCTCATCCCAGGACAGATTAATTTCTTGAAGAACCATTGTTGATGATGCTTTTTGAATACCTTGTAAAACTCCAAGTGGGTTCACTTTTGCCTATATATTATATTTTCTATGTGTCCACTTGTTTTATTTGCCTGATTACTTTGCAGGACCACGAGCTTGTTGATCTGAGATTTACTGGACCCACTAAAAATTTCTGCCTCAAGTAACAATCATCTGTGATCAGATCTAGTTTTAAACACAAAGTTAAAAGGGTTGAGCACAGGGTTACACAGCACAATTCATATTAAAAGAATGCTGCAAACTAGACAGTGAAGAAAATGCTACATCTGAAAATATGTCCTTAATGTTTTTAACTGTGGTGAAAAAGGTGTCCCTTCTCTGGAACTAGCTGTCCCAACAAAAGATTTTACTGCCTACCAAGTGGAGGCTTAGCTGGTGAAAAGGCTTTTCTTAGAGTTTGTGAATATACTACTGGCAAACTCATTTTGTGAGCTGGTTGGTGATTGCAGTGAATGAGGCTACAGTTTTGCCTGCAGTTGACTGGGGAATGCTTGCACAGAAGGATCAGACAGTTGACCTCAAAGGGCAACAGCTGACTTGGTGGTAGCATGGAACAGCTGGAGTTGATAAGGTTTGGAGGCAGCATAGCTGGATGCAGAAGATGTCATCTTATGGCTTGATTGTTCTAGTTCTAATATGTAATACCTCTTTTTGACTGCACTGTAACTTTCCTTTTTTTCAGATGCCTTCAGTGTTTGACAAAGAACCTTTCCAGATATGCTGCAGATATTAAGTCATTGCCACCCAACATAAAGGATAAACTGATTAAATTAATGAGTAGGCAAGGGCAAATTACTGATTCAAATATCAGTGAGGTAAGAACACATTCAAAACTTTTCTGTCTGTGATACTTAATACACAAGGATGAACTAAACTAAAAGTGTTTACATGAGACAACAGATAATTTCAGGCCTGCTTACTTTGTCCATGTCTTTACAGGTTTTTTTCTTAAACTTCATGATGTTAGTAGTCCTGTATTAGTAGTAATAAGATAATGTTTGTAGTGACAAGTAAATGAAGAACATTCTCCCTTCACCGATAATTGACTTCTATGTAATCATATATATGACATATATTATCCCTTTTCAGTATGGGGAAACTAGGCTCTATTGCAAACCAGCCTCTGTTCTGAATGTAGTATATTTCAAGAAGCTAGTGCATAATTTAGTAATGAAAAGATTTCAGGAACTTGTTAGATTTCTGTTATGTTCTATTGACATTATGTATATGATCTCTATATAATTTATTTAAGTCTTGATTCTTTGAAATGTGATGATACTAGGTCTAGAAATAGGTAGTTCAAATTTTCTCATCCCTTTTGCTCACTGATGTGTGTCAGTGTTGCAAAATGAAAACAGTTAATTCCTTTTTGTTAGCTGTAAATTCAGGGATACATCTGTTTTGGTATCTGTCTACTTGTTATCTTGTTTAGCCTCAAAGGGAGGCATGAGAATTGAGGAAAGCTAAAGGTTGGCCTTCATGAAACAGAAAATTAATAGCGCCCTGTTCATTCTGCTTTGACCTGTAACTCAGAAAAGGGAAATAGTATCAGTTTCTCAGAATAGCAAAGCCAAGACTAGAGGCAGAATCACAAGTACTGGGGAAAACTTATGAAAAAAAATATTATCTTTAGTTTGCACCATTTTTTGATTGTACAAAATAAGTCTTTGAGTAAAAATCTAACTCTTATTTTGGAAAACTAGGATTGAAAAAATTTGGTTTAGGCTGTCTTGTCAGTAAGTAATCCTGTCTAAGCATCCTACAAGATGTATATAATTGAAACCATATGATTGTGTGTGTATCAATGCACAAAACATATTAGGATATCTTTAGTCTGGAAACAAACCAAAGAGTTTAAGTTACAACCTTTTCCTCTGTCTCTTTGTAAAATCTCATCTGTCTTTGTCTTCATTCAGCAGTTGATCAGTGCCTCTCTTGAAGACCGTTTTCCGTCTTACACTGGGATATTCTGTTCTGGTTCTTTTTCTCATGTGTTTTTCCTTTCTCCATTCCTGCAATTTCCTGTGATTCTATCTTTAGCTGTCATCACTTTTCTTGGGCATGTTATACCTTAGTTTTCTTTGCTAACAGTTTCCAGGTTTATCTCACTTGTATTTTTTAAAAAATGCGAGCCACTCTTGGAATCTGAATTCATACTGTTTTTCCATACCATTTTGCTCTTCAGTTTTCCTGTTCTTTCATCTTGCAGATATTCTTGTTGCTCGATGTAGCAAAAATAGCTTCTGTTGTTTAGCTCTTCTCTTATTTTTCCCTGTTCACATCATGTATTACCAAAATATTCTACATGTGTCACATTCACAATGTCTCAGTCTTCCATATGGATAAGGAATTTTTTTTCCTTGCTATTGCTTCTGTCCTGCCCTTTTATTTCTAGTCTCCATAGTATTGCAGATAGATCTGTTTTTGCGATTTTCCAGGCTATGCTACCTCATTTACTTTTACTCATGTCCTTTCTTTGGTGGCATTGAGGCATTTTGCTTAAAGGTTAATTTCTTCCAGTTGAAATTCTGTTAACCTGCACTTATGTATAAACTTCTATTTCATCTCCTCTTCTTGCCTAGATTTGTGTTATCATGCCTTTTTTTCCTTACTCTGCTTTTTTCTTGAAGCAGCCTTCCATGACATGCATGCTAAACTTCTTATTTCAACTCACTTTTACCATAAAGATCTATAAAGCCATTCAGCATATGTCCACAGGATATTATACTTCAATCTCCTGTATTCTGCATGTAGACAATCCTTACTCTATCTAAAATTCCATTTTCTTTGAGACAGATTAGATTTTAGTATATGCATTCAGTGAACATGAATCTGTGAATAACAGAAAGCAAACCTCTTAAGTAATACCTGAGCATGTGAAGAATCATGAGCTAAGGAAGCTTAATACTCTACCTACTTTAAATAGGCAGTATTCTGATAGTATTATTTCTTATTTAGAATTCCTTCCATCAAATGGTTCTTTTTCTTATAAGATTTCTCAGTTGGCTTCAAAACCAGCAGTTTGCTTGCTTCTGTTGTGTCCTAGGCAATTTGGAATTGTGAAAGCAAGCTAGCAGTCAGGGAAGACATCTTGAATAAATGTTCATAGTCACTTTGGCTTTAAGTATGTCATCTGAGTTTGGCTTGTTTAGTTCCTTAGATATGGATTCAGAAATAAGAGTGAAAAGAGCTGAATGTTATCTTGTGAAAACTACTCACAAGTGTACTGTGGGATATATTGCTGGTTTTGTGGCATAGACACACTTGAGGCTTTCAGCATTTGGGAAGAAAAAGCTGAGGTCTGCTGTTCATTTTGCAGAAAGGTTGCAATTATAATCTACTAAAGGTTGCAATTATAATCTACTAGAAGTTTTTGCTTTTTTTCTGAAGGTTTATTGGACTTCATCAGTAAAGATTTTAGCATTTTATATATTTGCAAATCAGAAGAGTGGTATTCCTTGTAATAGCTTTATTGTACCTGTTAGAATGGTGAACTGAGAAAGGAATAGACCTTTAACAAGCCTGTCAGCTCTGCTGTTATATTTGCTTGTGTTTGGAAATTTACCATATGCTTTAATCCTTGTGAGTTAAGTAAGGGAATGACAAACTGAAGGGAACAATATAAGGTAATGTAAAAACCTGATCGAACACTTGCCTATTGGTCTGAAGGACAGCTCAGCAAAGGTATAGCTTGTTTGCACAAGAGAGGGCTATAAACAGTATTTATTGAAAAGTAGTGAGAATCCTTGAAAATTAAATTAGAGGTAAAATATATGGCTGTTGTTCCTAAAATATGAAGCCTTCCATGCTTAAGGTCTAAATTTCATAAATGTCCTCTTGGGGAAGATTTCACAAAAACTCCAACCTATGGTCTTGTGGGAGTGAAAGAGCCTATTTAATGAGGATTTGATACCTCCTCATGGTATGATAATGAGGGTGCTTGTTTATGAAAAAAGAGTGCGTAGATGAGAAAAACACTCTGGGGCAGAATATCTTTCAAGTATTACCCTTACCTGTTCAGCGGATTTAAGTTTTGATCACAGAATTTTTTTACACTTAAGATTTCTGCCATCAAAATTGTGCTAGTAAGTTTGAAGGTATTATACTTGGTGAACATATCTGTACTGACAGAAGCACTAGTGTTAGCAACTGTACAGTCAAAATAGTACTTCCACTGTTTAAATAGTAGTGTTAATGTGCTTCTACTGTAGATGTGTTCACAGAAACTGACTGTTCATGCTGGAGGAGATGAACTGTTGTGGCAAATATACCAAGTTTTCTTTAGCGTTTTAGTTCCTAGGACTGCTAAGCCCATCCTCTAGTGAATATTTTTTAGAGGTTCTATGTGAAGTCTAACATTACAAGTATATTAGATAAAAATATGCAAGTTCTGTGATGTAGTAGAGTTTGACTGAAATGGTAGGTTTTCTTTACAGATATTGCACCCTGCTGTAGAGTCTCTAGATCTCCGAGACTGTGATATTTCGGATAATGCATTATTGCAGCTTTATAACTGCAAGCAACTGAAAAAGATCAACTTAAATTCTTGCAGAGAAAACAGACTTGGAATCACTTCAGAAGGTATGTTATCTGTGCACGGATAACTGGGATCTTACTTCTGTTTTATTCTTCTTGTTAGAGTGGAGGAAATTGAAAAAAAAAATCTAGGGTTAAAATTGCTTACAAAAATCCCCAAGGCCACATGAATACTAATTAAAATTCACTTCAGTGGTGTCAATTATAGGTCTAGAGCACTGATTATCTTATAAAAGAGAGCAGTAAGGTTACTCTCATGCCAGGTTTCTGGTAAAACTATGCTACATTTGATCATATTTTCCACTTCATCTTAATTATTCCTTCCTTAAAACCCATGCCAGAGCCTTACCAGTACTACTGGGGTTGAAAGTTCAGATGAATCATCATTAGATAAGTCTTGTGATCTCCTAAATTACTTTTTTCCTCTTTTTTATTTAAATGTATTTGTTAATAAATCAGCTTTATAGCATCTTCTCTGACCCAAACGACTTGCTTTAGGACTTCAGGATTTCAGCTGTTAATTTTAACCTTCAGTTTCAAGTTGTGTTAAAAGAATTAAGCTTGTGGAGTTTTATTTGCACAAGTTTTGTCTTTTGATTACACTTACTCCTTTGCTCCATCCTTATTCAAAATTGAGGCAAAATATTAATTTAGTATTGAGCTAATGTGTACCATGCATTAGATGAGTCTTGGTTTGTATTTTCTTACCACTGCATAGTGATATCTTTTTGCTTAAGTAATTGGTTAAATTTTTTAAAAATTGATTTTATTTATCTTAAATGTCACCTCATTGTTATACTTTTTCACCCATAAGATAGAGTTTGCGATGGTCTTCCCTCCATGCCTTCATCTGTCTGCTGATTTCTAGTACAGTTCTTAAAGTACCAGCTAAGCCTAGAGCTCTTTATGTACACTTTTCATATATTAGGATAGAGATTCTTGATTGTTTTGCAATTAAAACTGGGAAATCTGTTTTTTTATTGGCAAGTTCCTAGTCCATCCAACTACTAACTTTCCTACTTATAAATTGAGCCCTTTTTAAACTGAGAATCAACTCTGAAGCATTTAAGTTAAGCTGGAACAGTTCTTTATCACTCATCTCAATTACATACAGGAAGAAAGACCCCAAACCACCCCATTTTAAAGCAGAGTTACCTTTTACTAATTCAGTAACAGGTGGGGATTTTTTGTTTGGTTTGTTTGGGTGTCACGATTTTTGTGGGGGGGTTTCTTTTAAGAAACCTGCTGGCTACAACATCCAGAAATATCTGAGCCCTATCATTACTAGGAAACATTTGCTCAGTGGTTCTGACTGAAGCAAGTACTATTTTATACGTTTCTTTGAAGTTCTTACATAGTAACATATCTTAATGCCATTCAACTTTTTATTTCTGCCTATCCAGAAGTGATGTAATTTTCTGTATTGCTGTAATCATCATATTTCCATCATCCTTGAAATTAATTCATTTCATGTGTTGCAACTGTAGTTCATGTACTTTTATTTTATTGACTATCTCCTGTGCAAATATTTTGGTTATTACTAACTGTGAGGGCTCTGAGGGCACCAGCAGACCCTAATGGCCATGACTGGTCTCACCTGCCATGCCCGCCTACACCAGCTGCCTAACTGCACCTTCAGTCCTGACCTGAGCTGTGTCATAGGTGTACCTGGTTCCTGTCCTGCTTCTGAACTATTGTTCTGATTTCTTGAACTGACCTCGGACATGACCTTGCATTTGGCCTGATACTCACTGCACTGTCAGCGGGACCTAGCACTGTCATCAGTCTGCTTTCAAACTATCAGCTTCTTTTTATGTACTCACTGAGGTGATACCTCATGTATATAATATCCCTCAGGTATCCCTCTGCAGTGTGGAGGAGAATTCAGCATTTAGAAATTTTTATCAACTCTATCACTGTTCATTGTCATTTTCTTCTTTTCATCCTTGACTTAAAAGAAACCAACTGCAAAATTACTTCCTTGTACAGAGTCTTGCTGCCACAGCATGAGATAAAAGTTGAACAGTCAAGGACTAGAAGACATTGGATTCAGCATGGTGATTATGTTATAAAATGAATGATTCTTTAAATTGGTCTGTTTCTTTGACAGGTGTCATAGCACTGGCCTTATCCTGTCCTTACTTGCGTGAAGCGTCTTTTAAAAGGTGCTGTGATATAACTGACAGTGGAATTCTTGCTCTTGCGCTCAACTGCCAGTTCCTACAAATTGTGAACTTGGGCAGCTGTTCAGGCATCATGGATGCATCTCTTCAGGCACTAGGACAAAACTGCAAATTTCTTCACAGTGTAGACTTTTCATCTACTCAGGTTGGTGGCAATTGGCTAATTGACTTATTTTTTAGAATTGTCATGATAAAATTGAAAGGGGATCTTTTTAGCTCTACTCTTGACAAGATTTAGGACCACAGTTCACTTCCAATTTCCTCCTTTCAAGGAAAAGGAAAGACATATTTTGTGTCTTAGTAACCAGAAAAATATGCATTTTGGTATTAAAGCATTTATTGTGGACCAGAGATAACCTTTTATTAGAATCTATCTAATATTGGAGATTTTTGTTCAATATCTTTATTTAGTGTCATAATTTTCTTCAAGCAGTAAAGTAATCCAAAATCTTTCATTTAAAAAAAGTAGAATCTTGGACAGATTGTTGTCTGCTTTCAGTTAGGACAAACCAACCTGAATAGTAATAGTACAGGATGTCAAGCAATATAAGACCCTAGTACAAGTAAACACTCCATAATTAGTTCTAGTTCAAGAGTGTCTGTGCTCTCTGAATGGCTTGTCGGAATTACATTATGGAGTCAACACAGAAAGAATGACATTTAAAATGTCGGAAAGGACAGGTAAGGGGTTTTAGCAGAAGTTAGTATTTAGCATGAGAAATGGAAACTCAGCTGCAACAGCACTACTATAACATACTTAACAATTATAGCAAGATAATGAAGTGAGGGAAGGGATTTTTTGCAGTAAGAATGGCCTTCAGTTGTCTGTGATGGTGAGTGATTATGTTGCATCTGAGTCAAGCACAGAGCATTCATAATAAAGTGTCAGATCTGGAAAACACATAGCAGGTTCTTATTTTAGATGCTGTTCTTCTTTCAGTTTTTTCAGAAGTAGGGCATCAAAAGTAAATATTTTCTGTGGTAATTTTTATTATTATCATTTATTTCTTCAAATTTATTTCATTACTTTTTTGTTTCCTTGCCTCTCTCTTCCTTTATAGGAAATAGTGGAGTTTCCCTGTATATGTTTTAAATGAGATGAAAGCTTCTTGAGTAACTAAATATTTCCATATTTTTAAATTCCTTTCTGATAATCATATGGTGCTAATACACTATAATTCTGAACTTCATTTGACTAAAAAATAAATAGAAACATATACTAGATATAAACGAAGTAAGTTTAAGATAAAGTAGAGAAACTGTGGATGGCTCATACCTGTAGAGATTGCAAGGCCTAACCATATTCTTGTGTTTGAGTTCCAAAATGCATAGTAAAAACATCAAGTGGAAATGGCAAAGCTGTGTGAAAGAGTAAACAGTGAGAGCACTGAAAATAAATGAACAGGCACTTGTGGAAACAAGGAAGCATATACGAGCTAGACTAGAGGGGCCAAATGCCTCAAGGTGATGTAGCCATTTTAAAAATAGGTTCATCTGGTGTCTGCAGAGATGAAGTACAGTAAGTAGAAGGTATAGAAGTGGTGCAAAATAACAAGAAATGGGTCATGTGAAGCCAGGAAAGGATTGAACTAATAAGGAGATGTAGCTCTGTGTCCACTGTATGCACACATAGAGTATGAGTGGAAGCTTGGCCTGAAGAACTCTGCTACACTGGCCCAGGACCATCTAAGAAACCTGTTTCTCATTACTTATCAGTATGCTTATGTTACCATTCTGAGGAGGTAGGGTTTATACAAAACCCTGTATTTACTGCTCTAGTTCTAGTGTGCTCTAAATCGCAGCAGTGTTAACAGACTCAAGAGTCCAAATCCCTGCACTAATCAAACAGTACATTTCCTCTTTAATGTTCATTGTCTCGGTGTATGGCAAATAACTGTGGGAAGAATCTTGCCTGAAAGTACTGTGCAGACTGCGACACTTTTCTGTCTAGGGTGTGGGATAGTTTAGTTCTCTGCAAAATGTGTTGGCAGAAGCCAAGTTGCAGGTTATCTGTTTTATCTGTGCAGACACTTCTCATGTAGGACCAGCTGGGTTGCTGATGTACTTAACTGCTGGTACTGGGCTGTGTAAGCTTTTGCTAGAGATACATACAGAGTTTGGTGACAACTGGTCTGTACCAAGAAGCTGATGTATTTATGGCTTGGTACCAATGTGACAGTGTATCCCTTACATCGCCAATGTAAGAGTGATGAGGATGCACAGTCCTTGATGAGGATGCACAGATGTGGCATTACAGACAATGCACATAGATACTCAGCAGAGTGGGAAACAGTACTGCAACACTGTAGTAATAGTATAGCAGTGGTTACTCTGAGCTCATCCAGGGAAGTGAGGGGACTTTGTTTTAATACAAAACTGATTTCATTCTCTCACGCTGTCATAATCATATTGTCACAAACATCATGACAGTAGCATTCAGATGGTCTCTCCAGAGTTCAGGCACAAACCAGGCAGTCTGATCCAGGTTTGTTTTGATGACATGAAGGATAAGGGACACAGCCTATCAAACCTTCATCACTGTTCTTGGGTTGGTTTTAGGTTGGTGACCCTGCACTGGTTTTGGATGTGCCCTTTAGGAACTGACAGTGATTACTCTCTCCATTCTGTCCCACCTGAAAGAGTTACTAAAATTTATTCATTCACTGCCTTTCATCTCCTGGTCTGGGTGTCTTGGGGAGCTAAATATGCTGTCATCTTGATGACCTCCTAAGCTAGGTACTGAGAATACCAGCCATTCTTACAGGCCTTTGTGTGCCTCCATGCTGGGACATTTCTGTCCACTCTCCATTCGCATTGGTCTGACCCTTTCTATTACAGTTCTGTATAGTAGACTTGCAATAGAGGGCCAGAAGGCAGTAAGACAATTTGTGCAATGGGAATAATCAAATCTTCAAACAGAAACGGAGCTTGTGGTCTCTGGATTCTAGCTGTCAAACTCAGCTGAGCCTGACTGTATGTATTTGATGACTACTGTTCCTGCCATCTAATATTGTAAGTGATTTGACACCAATCACAATTTATCTTGTATTTTGCACATTTAACCAGCAACCAATGCTACTACGAATTCCTCTGTATAACCTTGTACCAAGGCCGAAGAACTGGTCAGTAATCATTTACTAGGTACACCTAGGTACTGCTTAGGTAATTAGATTTATAATTGAAAATAATTCTGTTTGAAGTTGTTAGAGAGATGTCTAGACACAGAATAATTTATTACCTAGAATACATTGGATAATGTCTCAGATGTACCACAACCCAAAATTAATGAGAACTGGGGAGAATGAACTGTAACAGTTTAAGGATCTCAGCCGAGGAACGGTGAAACTAGGTAATAGGTAATTCCGGCAGGGGGAGATCGCAACTACCGACTCATGGGCCACCGACCCAAATTACACCCCAGACTCATTTCTAGAGATTTCTAAGCTTTAGTGCACAGAATTGGAAGAAGGAGGGAAGTATGATAATGATTTCCAGGGATTCTTGTGTTTATGTATGAATACCTAATGAGTATGTGTGATTGAATAATATATAAACTGTATGATTCTTGTGCTTGGTGTGCATTTTTGGTGAGAGCACTCACCCACACACCCGGCCATCAATAAGTGTCTGCTTATCTGCATCAAATCGGTGTCGATAAGTTTTTATCCTGGTCCTTCGGTGACAATATAAGCACTATGAAAAAACCTGTGTGACAGATCTGATATCCAGTTCAGCTTTTGAAGTAAGGAGGAAGTTTAATGAATTTGGTTCCTGGAAGCAAATGAATAAATCGGCCTTTCTTGCCTTTCTAAGGTAAGGAATGTCTTTTGTCTCTCTCCCCTCTCTTGCAGGTAATCATTGCTTCATGGCTGGCTGTAGCCAATAAACCTTTTAATGCGAGTGTATGATGACTGCTCTAAGACTGTTTGTTTGAGGAATTTTTGCCTTACATAACTGATTTGCTTCAAGATAAGTGAAAGTAAGATAGCAGATAAAAGACTGCTGTGATTACTTTTTTTTCCCCAATCCAAGAAACTTCCTTCAGGAAAATCTCCATCAGTCCTGAAAACAGGAGAAAAATTGGTCTAGGTAGAGCAGAAGTACTTTAAACCTTATAAATTAAAAGTGCCATGCTCTGACCATAAGAGTGTACTCACTGGTAAATGAGACAAGGAAGCTGCAGAAATAGCAGTTACACAGTTGAAAACATCCAGGTAGAAAGCCAAGCTGGATCCCATGGCAGTAAAATGCAACAGTGTTTAATAAACTGAAAAAAAACATACATGGCTAATTTTCTCCACAAGCTTAGTTGGGAAGAAAATACTGTAATTTTAAGTGTATTCAGTGAATGCAAGGAGTAAATAATATTTTTTTTCCCCAAATAGCTGTGTTTGAAAAAAATGAACTTTAATCCATTGTTAATAACAATGTGGTTTTTTTCTCTAGGTGACAGATGATGGCGTTGTAGCACTAGTGAGTGGAACATGTTCAAAGAATTTAAAGGTAACTTACTTAATAAGAATGAAATGAAATGAACAAAAGCAAATACCAGCAAATTTTAATTATTATTATTATTATCAGTATTACTTCTGAGGGATGTTTTTTATTGACTGCTTTTGTTTGTGTATACCCTTGCTCTGATTTTGGTTATGAATTAAGTATTTTCTGTCTCTCTGTAGCAGTGCCTCAGACCAGCTTTTTGAGAACCTCAGTCTTTTCAATATTTTTCTTCTGTTGAATGTAGTATGCTTATTTTAACTCACATTGTTTTAGAGAGTTGTACAATAAATGCAGATGAATGCTTAATTTTTCCCCTTTATTTCACTGGAGTTATTTCTTGATTCTGTTGGACACTGAGGCAGAATCTGTAATGTGGGTAATTCCATGGATTTAAGAATCAATTAGCACCTCTGCAGAGGTAAATCTCTTAACTCATGAAAGCAACTGTGAAAATGAAGTTGTCTTTGCATAAAGATTCTCTAGGCACTGAGACAGTAATAAAATGAAGGAGAAGAGACATCCAATATCTCTTACCATAAATGATCTTCTACTTTTCTATATAGTAAATTTTTTATCTGCATGTGTGTTTTTGCTTTCATTGAAGGCTGATTCTGAATCCAAGCTGTTCATCTAGAAACCAAGATGGAAAACAAGTCATACTTTTGCTAGTTTCTAGTGTTTAATAAAACAAAGAACCCTAAACAAAATACAAAATCTGGGTCAATTGACATTAATAATAACTCGGAAAAAATATAACTGTTACTCTTTTATTTGGAGGGTGAACAGTTAGATTTGGGTTTTGGCTTTTTTCAGCTGATTTTGTCTATTTTGGACAATCTTTTTAGTCTTGATGAGTCTTGTGGTACAAAACGAAATTATTTTTCAGACCATAGCATTGAGAAATCCTATTTTTGTATACTAGAAGTTACTTGAAAATATCTTTGTCTTTTAGCTGGTTACACCTTTAGCTCTAGCAACACTGATTACAGATTCTCTAAACAACCCTGGGTCTATGCAGATAGTCTTCATAAGACACCTTGTATTCAGCCTATAAATGTAAAGCAGTGGGTATCACTATGATTTGGATTAGGTCATTTGAACTAGGTTACTCTCAAAAGTCTTCAGTACATATGTCTTAAAACACAAATATTGTAATAAGTTTTGGGTTTGCTGTTGAGTGAGGTTCTGTAAGGTTCTTAGGGAGTTCCTAGAGGGTTTTGACCTATTTTCCAGTAATGTTGGTATAATTGCTCTGTCAGTATTACCTTCCCTCTTCTGTATTACTGCTGCCCACAGTTCATAGAGAATTATATTCTTGTATGTAAGCCCTTTTTCTTCAAACCATAGCATTTATTTTTAATACAAATTTCCAGCTTGCAAAATGTGGCCTTTGGTGTTTCCTAATCACATCGCTGTAGTTACTGTTTCTTTGAAAGTGCATAGGCTTTGTTTTGTGTGTGCTGCACATGGAAGCCTGTGGAAGTTGTACTAGATCAGGAAGAACAAGTTAGGTAGCTTACGTAAGACCTGCTGCTTCATCAATAAGTGTTCATGAAAGTAATGCTGAGGTGGTGGGCTTTGATTTCAGAAAAACTAATGGGAAATTTCAGTCACACCAGACTGAATAGTGGTATGGATTTTGCTTGTTCATTTCCCTGAGCTCAGTACTTGTTTCTTCTTTTTTAAAAGCCATGTATTTAAGTGCTTTTACTACATTTGGGTTTTTGGATGGGTTTCAGGGGGAGGGGGGTGTGTCTGTGCAGTTTTAATAAGGCAAAATATAATGGTTTTATCAGTATGAACAGCTAGAATTGTTTAGGTCCATTGGTTCGCAAGCAGTAAGAAAAAGAAATTTAGTAGAGAATATGGAGTTATTTGCTACAATCTTCTTCAGTGTAACTCTTTCTTGTCTGTGTTACAGTCCTCTTACCTCGGTTTTGTACCATCGAAGTGCAAATTTATAGACAGTGATCTAATGTCAGGTACATGTGAAAAAAAGAAGGGTCTTAAAATACTCAAGCTGTAACTAGCAGGCAGATTTATAAATCTTCTTACTTCATTCAGAGGCATTCAGATTCCACATTTCAGTTACTTATTAAAATGAACTAAAAGCTATAGATATATCAGCTTTTGTATATCTTGCTTCTCTGAATACAGTTCTTGTTTTCTCTATCATCATTCAGTACAAAGTTGCATTTATTACAAAAGGTCCCTTTCATTTCTGTGCTCTTTCAAGTTTCTTGGAGTTTATAATCGGGAAAGATGCTCTTTCACAGTAAAACAACGGGGCTTTTTTATTTTTACTCCAGGATTCCTAAAGTATATTTTCCCAAATCCTGTTTGCATTAGATTTGATAGTCTCTTTTCTGCATTTTTTCCTGTATGTTATATTTATTAATATGTAAGGCACTCTAGAGGGAAAAAAAAAAAAAAGAGTTGGTAATAATCTGTTAATACTGAATTTATTTGTTCTCTAGCACATACAAGAAGTGCTAGTTTTACAACTTCACAGAAATGAAGAAGAGAGCAGGTTTTAGTCTAGCCTTGCAATAAATTCTTAGACTTCTTTTAGGAGATTAGATAGATAGATAGATAGATAGATAGATAGATAGATAGATAGATAGATAGATATTGGGAACTTCAGTAGAGACTCATGAATCCTGCCTGTTTTGAGAAACCCCAGAATTCAGTTTGGGTTCTGTTCTCAACAAATTGCTAGGAGAATGTGTGTCATAAGAAAACTGATGGGACTCATACACCACAGAGTCTCGCTGGAGAGTTTTCTTACTGTCTCAAATGGTATGTTTTGGGAAAACTCAGGTTTATGTTTTTAGTGTTGACTCTTCATAGAAAAGCTGTCTTATTTTCCTGAGGGTATTTTCCTGATCTGTACAGGATCATATATGGGGTCAATGCATGGAGGAGCAGTAAGTCATACTTTCTTCTGGGTGAGGATCTCTGAAAATGGTTGGACAAAGAAAGCTCTGCTTCCAAAACTATGAGTGCTCAGACAGGCTTTTGTTACTACTATTTTCTTAACAGGAGATCCATATGGAACGCTGTGTGAATCTGACAGATGTTGCTGTGGAAGCAGTCCTCACTTGTTGTCCAAAGATACACATTTTTCTGTTCCATGGATGCCCACTGATCACAGGTAGGTCAAACCATGCAGGAAGTAAGAAGAGTAATTACTTCTTGATAGTGTCTTGCTCTCTGGAAAAGCATACTGTAAATAATCTGAAGCAAACAATAACTTCCTAGATAATAATCTTACACAGATTTTCAAAGCAAGGTGAGAGATTTGCTTTGAAATATGTCAACCTTCAGAGTGGGATTTCTTTCTTAGAGTTTGGAGGTTTTTTCTTTCCTTTTTTTTCCCCTGACAACATGCTGATGAAGATCCAAAGTTGATGACAAGACTTCAGAAAAATATGTTAACATCTTAAACCCCTACTTTATTCCAAAAGTATGGAACAGCATCCGTTCAAGAAACAGTGGAATGGAGTAGGACTGGTCAGCCTGAAAAACAAGCTGAAGAGGGGTTATGATCTAACTTAGGTTTTTTAAGTTTGGTTGGTTGGTGATGCTTTATAGCTATGTGATTGCAGAAAGAACTGAGTGGTTTTGAATTACTAAAGATATATCTGAATTGTGATATTGTAATAGCAAGATAAGTGTAAATGCAGATATATAAATGAATAATTTTGCTGTTTACCTGATTTCTAAATACCACCTATATATATTCTGAATGAATAACAGGAATTTCCTTGGTTCTTTTGCAGATCGTTCCCGAGATGTTTTAGAGCAGCTAATCATATCAAACAAAATCAAGCAAGTAACATGGACTGTTTACTGATTATTTATTGTGTACGTACAAGTGTAAAGTTTACAGATGGGAGAGTTCTTTCGGAAAACAAGCACCTTGGAGAAATAGCTGGTGACTTCTGTAGCACCAGATTACTTCCCGCCTTGTTCCCACCAGAGGTCTCCATCGCCATTCCAGTCCTTGCCTGTGAGTCTGGGCTTCCCCACTGTCTCTGCTTAGAGCCCTGTCTTCGCATGGCTGATCATACTTCATTAAGAGGAAAGTTAAACTATAATTAATATTGCACTGTCATCGCTCAGCCTCCTTGAAGTATCAGATTTGGCTACTATTTAGCATCTTTTAGCATCTTGGCTACATATACAAACCCAATTTAAGTCTGTGTTCTGATTTGTAGTCTGAGAGGATAGCTGCAACTAAAAGTACCAAGCCTAAACATAGTATTTAACACATCCAGAAATGTTTGTAAAGTTGGGACTTCAATCTGACAAGTCAGCAGACAACTGACAAATGGAGTGGCATTAACGGCAAGGCAAATGTATTTTAAGTCGTAAGAGACAATCTCCTTTCACCATGTGCTTTTGCTAGGTCTGGATGAAAAACTGCAGGTACCTTTCTTTCAGTGTTACTGATGCTGCAGGTTTCTGGTTTTATTTACCATCAAATATTTGCTGGATTTTTACACATCCGAAACTACAGTGTGAACATAAACTTGATTTGAAATTGTTGTGGTGACTTAAAAAATTTCAGAATAGTAGTAATGACCAATAAAAGAATCTTATATATGGACAAATACTTACTTGCCCTGGCTTTTGCCTGTGTTCCTGCATGAAAATACCTTTAGGGAACAGAACATTGGTCCTCATAAGCATAGCTGTGAGTGAAATAGGACCAAATTTACTGTCTGAGTATATAAATCTCAGGATGGTAGAGTTAGCAGAATGTTGTGCTATATGCAGTTTATTACATCTCCAGTGGCCCCCAGAAGCTGAAAATAACAACCATTTATATATTGTTTAACTGTAGTCATATTAAAGAAAAAAAGATTAGAACTGTAGAATGAGTTTATTACATGATGGAACAGTGGTCACATAATTACAAGTCATGTTCGTTGGCTTTCTCGAAACAGTATAACTTCTTGTGACACTTCTATGACTTCTACATTAAACTTTTAAAAATACTAGTAATTTTTGCATTATATAGGGCAGGTATCACACTGTGTTGTGACTCTGCATCTGAAAGTAGCAGGGTTTATCTAGGGTGGTCTTAAATGTATCTGGTGACATGTAAAACCTCATAAGTTTGGGCGACCGTAAGGACTATGTTTACTTTACAATTTAACACTTGTCATAGCCACACTCATTTTAAGTGTTGCAGAAATAAACCAGTCTTCTATGAATCTATTTGAAGTTCAGGTCAAATTGCATGGAAGAGAATATAATACATGTTGCATTCAGTAATATTAAAGGATATTATGATGTCTGACAGTCATCTCTCTTCTTTTGTTGATATATAGGTTTGTGGAAGAGCAAGTACATTTAGAAAACTTGGTCAAGTGTAACTGAAAGCATAATTTTCAAACGCCAGTCCCTAAATCCCTAACTCTTATTACATGCAGTACTGTTGCTCAGCCCAGTGATGTGTTCCTGGTACCTATAGCTACACCAGTACAAACCATTCCAGCAAATAGAAGTTGATTTTGCTACATTAAGCAACTAGCATCTGAAGGCTGTAATTGCAGCAAATCCTTGGACCAGAAAGAGGCCTAAGAACCTAATCTACCATGGTTTATTCCCTTTTTTGGTTAAAGAGTAGTTTACTGTTTTGCTCTGTGGAATCCCTGGTATCAGTCAGGGCCCATCATGCCTTTCAGCTTTTGGACATGACTTGGCAATAAACTTGTTTTGTGCTATTTTTGATATTGATCCATCTAGCTGATTAGGTGGCAGCAGTGACACCTCAGTAATCATGTCAAATAAATAAAGCATAAGGGTCAGGCTGCCAGCCCTGGTTTCAGGAAGGGTGCTGGAAGACAGTAAATAGAATTGTAAGCTAACTCAAGTGAGAGGGGCCTTGGGAGGTTTCTATTCTAACTTCCTGCCCAAAGTGGGGCCAGCTCAGAGCTCAGACCAGCTTAGTCAGAGCTTTATCCAGCCAAGTCTTGGAAGAACTGAAGATGACAGAGCCTTCACAACCTTTTGAGGCAACTTGTTCCACTGCTTGACTGTGTTAATAGTGGAAAAATTTTTCCTCCTATCCTATTTGATCCTATTTTGTTTAAGCTTACACCCTTTCTCGCTGGAAGAGCCTGGCTGTCATACTGACAACCTCCTCATATGTATGGGCAGTCTGCTCATGTCTCTTGAAGCCTTCTCCATTCCAAGCTGAACAAGCCCAGTTCCCTCAGTCTGTTATTGTAAGACATGCAACTATAATATAGTGTGGTGATGGTTGCCAGACTCATCTCAAGTGCTACATGCAGAAAGATAATTAATAAAGAAAAGAATGTAAAGCAGCTAAAGATGGAACACCACCAAAATCTGTAACAGCAAAGGATGCTTAAAAAAGGGACAGTGCTACTGCTAACCTCACTGGCAAGGTTGTCCTTTTTCCCCTTGCTAATGTAACCTTGGATTTGTCATGAAGGCAAACACAGCTTACACTGTGTCCTTAAATGTGCATGTAGATTTACCGTCTTCTCCTTTCTACAGCCTCTTCTAAATGTGTAACTTAGTGGTCTATCCTCACTTTGTGCTTAAAAATTGGTACAACACTGCAATGAATTAACACTTTAATTTTAGGTGTGGAAGTTTAATGTTAAGTCACATTAAATCCTTCACTGCGAGAGCTTAAGTCTGCCCTCTTACATATTTATTACTGGCATAACTCCTGGAATATTTTTTGATTCACGTTAGGCCATCTTCAACAACTGTTTACAAGCACTGGGTGAAGTGGAAGAACAACATTGTGCATACATTTATCACTTCATATTCTGTATTGTTTGGATATTGTTATTGTTGTAAATTGCTGGGTGAATGCTGCAGAATATTCACATATTGTTCTGAAGATTAAAGTTTGTAAGTCTTCTGTTTAGATAGCTCTGGAAATTTGTTAAATTATATCTTATGACCATGTACATCTGAATGTGCTCCTAAACCTCCCATGCCATAAACACCATGGTTTTCTGAGTACCACATACTTCCTAATGTTTATAAGCTTCCACCATGTCACCTGGTGTTTGGTAGGTGTATTAGGTTCCGTTCTGCAGTTACTAGTTGCCCGTCACTGCTTGTTCAACAGTTAACTGCTAAAGGTGACAGTTCCTGCAAGACTGCTCTGAAAATGTTGGTTTCTTCAAATAACTGCATTTGCAGCCTCCTAGCTGTGGATCGAATTTCCCTTTTTTTTTTTTTTTTTTTATTACCCCACTTCCTTGACAGATGTAGCTGAGAATGATTCTGGAGCTTGTTTTCCAGCATTTCCTCAAGAGAAGAGGAAAAATAATTATATCCAACTTTTATTCCTTGTTTTTAGTTAGTTACCTTGTGTTCAGAAACATCACAGAAGGAAAGATTTCTTCATCCCTCACTGGCTGCCCGTGGTGATAGATTGCCTTTTTTACCCCTGCAAAGTTAGGGAATGTAGATCATTTCACCCTACTCTCTAGGGGAAAAACGTTACCTGGTAGCTGTTACTATTTAGTCACTTTCCACTTACTAAAAACTTATACTTTGGCTAGAATTCAAGCATATTTTAGATTTGTGTGCAACTCCTAAATAATCACTCTGGCAGCTTCAAGCAAGGGTAGATTTTTATTTATTAGAGGGAAAGGGGAGACTCAAATTAGTTACTCTGACATTCAGGAGAGATATACAGAAAAAGAGCAAGGCACTTCAAGTTGAGCATAGTATGAGCTAATAATCTAGCGGAGAGTTTTGTGAAGGTCAGCAATAATTGTCTTCTATAAATAGCTGCAAAGTCTGTGAAAGCAGTGCCATTATCTGTCAGCCACCACCTTCTCCCCACAGCAGTATGCTGGATGTCCAAAACCATTTCACAACAGAGAGCAAGACATGAATATAGATGAAAAACATCAAGCATGCAAACTTTTACATGTAACTTCTCTTGGATTTGCACTTTAGTGCAGGTCCCCTGGAATACAGTTTGCATGTAGCTTTTACCTCAGAGTGAAAGCTTCAGTGAATGTGACTGAAATGAGTATGCTGAAGGTACAGTAATCTACTTTGCATCAGCAGATATGTTCTGTGTTTAGTTACCATTTTCATTTTACATACTTACAAAAAAAGCCAACTGAGACAAAAATTTTTTAGAAAGCCAGCTTCAACAGTTTTCTAAACTATTTGAGGGCTGATAGCTCCAGACAATACTTGATGTTAATCCATTGTTTTCTTGTCTAGTATACTCGGGAAGCGAATATTCTATAACTTTGTGCAACTGATTGCGAATGCTGTGGCTTAAAAACTGGTGCCTGCCAGGGTCACCAATCAGCACTTCAGTCTGCTGTATCCTGATGCATTTCCTCAGCCAGTGATGCAGACCATCAGCAAGTTGTTCATCGTAAAACATATCTCCTAGAACAATGAGGTCCCAGTTGCCAGCCTCTGAATTAATGATGTTCTTAATGGTGATGGGGAAGGGATTCAGGTGGTTCAGTTCACAGTTCAAGATCATTGCCACTCCTGCAACTGAAGAAAAGTCAAATGAAAGTTATGTTTTAGGATTCTGCCATTCAGCCCCCCTACAGATTTCCTTGACACATCTTTCAATTTCATCTGTTAAATATTTTTGTTTATCCTATCTAGGGACTTCCACAGTAGGTCAGAATCTGGCATAAAGTGATGGAATTTTATCCTCATTGTACCAAGACAAAGGAAAAAAAAAACCTGTTCCTGGAATGTATACCAATAGAAACCAATCATGGATTCAGACCAGAATACTGCCTTAATCTATGGATATACTTCCTAACCAATTAGTAATTTAATTACGAATAAACTGAATTCATAAGTCAATTATGGGAAAACAAAGTTTGGGAAGAAAAGGCAAAATCTGGGTCCCAACATATGAAAGTGCAGGAAAATACAATAGTCCTACAGATAAGCCAACTCGCTGCCTGCTCTTGGAGTTCTCTTCCAATCCAGCTGCAATGGTGTACAGGCAGCACTTGCCAGAAACTTTGCTGTTTGCTCATTCTAAGGAGCTATGGAGACCTATTTTGGTGCAGGAGAGGCTGGTACAACCCCGCTCTAATACTGGCAAAATCCATTCATCTTTTTAGCATTCTTAGAACTGTTTGGAACCTGAATTGTTCTCAAATGGAGCAAAGAAAAGTCAGTGTTGAATATGCTTTAAAAAGTATCTTTACACAGAGATGGAAAAAAAAGGCCTTACTAGGGTCGATGTCATTAGCAAGGACTTGTGATGCACCACTCATGACAGCAGCTATTGCTGTTGCTCCACATCCACTTCCAAGATCCAGAACCGATCGTCCTTTAACAACACGTGGATTATCTAAAATATACCTGAAAAGAAAAACTGTTAAAGCAATGAACAAGATTATGCAAATTTCTGTTTTGCATTACACTGCATAAGAGTTCTTGTCATAAGTGTAATGAAGCATAGTATCTTAACACTATTACACATGTGCAGCTGGTACATACCTCCTTATTTGTCTCTACTGATACAAAAATCAAGAACCATCATCTTTCACCCTTACTTCTCCCCAAAACAAAAAGAAATCCAGCCAAGTAAGCCAACTTTTTACTTCAGTCAGCTCCTCTGACAGGTGAGTTTATCTAAGAAACAAACTGAAAGGTGATTAAAATGCTTGGTATCAGAAACATGAAAGTAAGGATTTGTAAAAATTAAAAGCAATCTGATGGAAGAAACATGGAAATGTATTTGCAGTGAATATGGCACCCGTCAAAAGACAAGATCTGCTCATTGCCCTAAAATACTGCTTATGCAACTGCTTGGAAGAAGAGGAATTTCTCCTCTTTCTTTTTCCTGAGCCACACAGACACAGATTTGTGTTGTCTTCTGGCATAGAGAATAATGGCTGGCTCTTCATACAGGGCTACTGGTAAGCACAGCTTTTGCAGCTGGGTTCCAGTGGAGAGAACTGTAATGGAAACACTAAGTTTGGTGTACATGGTGGACAGATGGATGGGAATGTCTGGGCCTCGAAGCAGCAGCAGGAATGGCAGAAGGAGGCCTAATATGAGTGTCAGGCGTTGATGACACCTAGATCCCAGCACATCTGTATACAGATTCCCAGGAGCCCAGACTGGGAGAACAAAAGACAACCTACTGTCATATTAAACAGTTCAAGCCATTAAGAAACAATAGCAGGAAGGTTGAGACCAGGACTGAAAATATAAAATATCTGATCAGAACCCCAGGAGAGAAGGACCTGACATACTATGTATGCCTCCTGTCCTGCATGTCACCACAAGGAATCCTTGAACATGCGCAGCTTGCTGCTCCTGAGTAAGTGGTTATGAATCCAAGGAGAACCTGGCTCAGTTTTAATTAAAATCACCTTCCCTATGAGGTCTGGCACCTAGCTTTGCTACACCATTACCACTATGTTGCAACATTATTTGCTACTATGAAGTTCTACCATGCTCTCTTTTCTGAGGGCACCCAGGCAGGACTAAGCTGTTTGGCAACACTCCCCTGAGGCCCCCAGTTTACCAGTAGCATGGTGGACAGGGGTGGGACCTCCACAGAAAGTTCTCCCTTTCCTCTTCTCAGGGCTAATCTTGGATTTGCAATGTCTTCCCAGCAGAGACTTGGGCAGAGCATGATCTGGCCTAAGGCTGCAAGTGCCTTGTTTCCACCAGAGCGGTTCTCAAGTTACAGCTAATGACTGTGGTGACTTAGGACAGCTGGAACCGACTGTATCCCCTGGCATGGACACAGTGCATTACACTGCTGCTGGAGACTGCTGTCTGCCATGCTGGGGTAATGAGGTGTTAGGTTACACCAAGAGGAATAGCTTGAAAGAGGAGACTCCAGATCTTGGGGAAATGCCACCTGTGAAACATCAGATTTACAGAAGCAGCACATGTTCATGCTCCCTTTTTCTTTTTACTTTTCTGGATTATGCAGCTAATTCTCAATAAATCATACAACTGAATAAAC